ACACAATTATCTATTCTGTTTTTCTCTTTCTGTCTCGGGTGTCTCTTTTGTTCTCTCTCTCTCTCTCTCTCTCTCTCTCTCTCTCTCTCTCTCTCTCTCTCCCCTCCCTCCCTCTCTCCCTCCATCTCTCTCTTAAAATAAACCAAAAGCCACTTCATTTAGCAGCTCCCAACAGCTCTTCCAGACAGAAGTTTCCCGTAGGAAGATATTTCTGAACCTTATCAATTATCCATATGTATTCCAGTCTAACTTGTTTCGTAGAAAAAGAAGCTGCAATTGTGAGCAGACAGGAGAGGTTTAAGCAAGGTTACAGAGAGAGGAGGAAACTACCGGGGTTGAGGCTCAATAGAGGGCTTGCTCCACATGCTTAAGTCCCTAGATTGATTCTCTCGCCTAGAAAAAGAAAGACAGAAAATAAAGTGAGGCAGGCAGATGGGGAACACAGGACCGGGCGCTGACAAAGACCCGTTCCCTCTCCTGTTCTCAGCCCCTGGTGCCGCTGAGTCTTCAGAACAATGGAATCCCATCTTCTGCTTTAATTACATGTTGTGCATTTTGGTCACGCTCCCCTTCTTTTCCTGCTGAAAAGATGAAGAAATTGGGTAAAATTATCAGCTGACTCCCCAAACACAAAGGCCTTTTCAACTGACTGAAGAAGACGTGAACGAGACACCGACCGGACAAACATCAACTTTTGCAGCCATGACGTGAATGGATGGAGCGCTCGCTCGTTACGCTGATGGCGGGTTATGAAGCAGAACCAGGAAAGCTGTGATTAAGTGCTCATGTGGCGGCGCCCTCAGCAACGAGGCTTTTATCCGTCGGCTGTGCGGCGGTGGCCGCTTTCCTATCAAGGGCAAGAGCAAAGTAAACAAACGTCCACGGAGACCCTTTTCAAAAAGACATCCAAAAATGAATCCTTCCCTTAGAAATGTTGCTGAGTTAGGGGGGTGGGGGTGGGGAATCACTTCAATTAAATTCTAACGCGTGGGTGCTATGGTGACGGCAGAAAAAGCCACAACGGTGCACAGGTTAACTGCCTCTGCACAAAGAAAAGAGGACACCTAGGGTTTGTCGTGAACCCGATGACGGGCATCGCTTACTATGAACAGCTGTAAGGATGATTACGGTTAGTAAATATGTGGGTGAAATGGCCCAGAGTGGATATATATATATATATATATATATATATATATATATATATATATATATATCGCTTCAATATATTATATATTATATATATTCAATATATATAATTATATATATATATTGAAGCGAAATGCTAGTGATATACCTTACCACATGCCTTAAGATAGCTAGAAGAATCTATTATGTCTTCATCAATAATCAAAGGTCTTGTTCTAGGACTAGAAGTCGTAAGAGCTTCTAGGAAGCATAAAGCAGAAGAAATTGGGCCATACTCAGCAGTGGGTGAAAGATGATGAAATACTTCAGGTCTGCACACCAACACTCCAACCTTTCTCCTGAGCCCACAGACCACATCAATTCTCCTTGGTACCGTCACCACATGCTGACACACACTGTCTTCCCTCGGCATGGGCATTTCCATATAAACATGCGGTACCTGCCTTTGTGAGGATGCGAAGGCTCCAGCAGAGCCTAGTTGTAGCTGATATCACCCATTTATTGGCTCAAACCAACTTTCAGAGCTCTTGCAAGGAAGGAGACACCATCCTTGATACGTGAGTTCCAGCGGAGAAGAGGACATCGCCACCATCCCATAGTTCACCTGTAAACTTCACGGGACTAGCTGATTTAGCTAGCATTGTTGAGAAAAGTGCAAGATGCTGAGATATCGAGCGCATAGCAGGAGACGAGGCCGAGAAGATTCCTCTAAGGGAATGAGATCAGGGAAACCTTGATATTAAGAGTTCAAGCCGGGTACAGTGGCTTTGATCCCAGCCCTCAGGGGGCAGAGACCGGTGGATCTCTATGAGTTGGAGGCCAGCCTGGTCTACCTAGTCAATTGTAGGTCAGCCAGGGATACACAGAGAGACCCCTATTAAAATAAATAAATAAATAAAAAATAAATAAATAAATAAATAAATAAACAAAAGTTCTCAGGGAAGGGACAGTCCAAGCAACTGGAAGGGCAAGAGGAAAGGCCTCAGGGTGGGAACAAGTGACCGTGGCTGCAGCCAGTGAGCCAGAGGAGAGGGAGCCAAGTAAATGCCCTGGGGCTCAATCATGTGCTTGGCACATGGTCAATACTCAGGAAACCTTTGCTGAATGAACAAACCAACAGGCACACGTCAGCTGGAAGGACAGACAGTACTTTTGCCCGTTTTTTTGCAGGAGTGCAGATGACCAGGGCCCAAAAATCCACAATGGTGTCAGGTGAGTCAGATCGGGCATTCTCTAGGAAGAGTTGAAAATGAAAAGTGAGCCAAGCCTGGCTGTAAAGATTCTAATTCCAGCTACTCAGGAGGCTGAGGCAGTCTGGGCAATCCAGGGAGACCCACATCTCACAATAAAAAAAGCACTAAAAGGTCTAGGGACCTAGCTCAGTGGCCAGGGGATTATCTGGCACGCACAGGACCCTGGGTTCAGTCGCCAGTTCCCACCCTGTGAAAACTGAAACCTTCAAGGGAATCTGTAACAAACCCCAAATCACTGCCAAGGAGCATTGAAGCCCAGGAGCTGAATGTGGCTGACGTCATGTGGGGCAGGTTCCAGAAGGCAGGACGGATGTAAAGTAGACTTTGAATCACACACAAGAATGTGGTAGGTAGAACAAACAGAAGAGAGGACTCTCCAAGGAAATCAGCCTGCATCACGGTACTCCAACGGAGCGACATTGATTTCTGGACATTATGTAAATCATTCTATGCTTGCTTGCCCAGACAAGGGGGAGAATCAATCCCATACACAAAACACAGAACCTGGATTCCAATGTTTTTATTTGAGGTTGCCCCTTTGAAATTCGCAAGGCTCCCCTTGAGTGGAGATTTGCCCATCTTAGCTTATTTTATAGTGAGATTGGGGAGAGTCTCCACCCCCACCCCACCCTACCCCACCTTGCCCTGACATCTATAAGGGGTCTTCTCATTCTCTCTCATTCTCTCACATTCCAGAATCACACCCTCCTGCTGTTCTCACTGGACTGGCTTCCTTCCCTTTCAGCACCACTTCATTAAAGCCTTGCAGAAGCTCTCCGGAAGCATCCAACCGCCTATTAGAAGGTCTGTAAGATGTGAGTCATGGTTCCACCACCCACCCGAGAGGCCCAGCCAGAGGATAGGTATCATCCATCACTCACGACCCTTGCTTCTCATTATACCACCCAGGGTCTAATCTATGAAATTCAGTCAACTCTAACTCTCAAATGACGCTCCTTCCTCTGTCGCCTGTTTACCCCCATGCCTTTTTTCTTCCCTGGACTTAATTAAGTTATCGCACAGCTTATTTCTTTTCTTTCCTGTTCTGTTTTCTCAAATGGTGTTGGGAGTTGAACCCAGAATGTGCCATCTTCTACTGAGCTCTCCCCATAGACTACACCCGGGTTTTTTGTTTTTAATTTTTTTTTTCTTTAAACATCCTTCTGGGAATCTTTCTGATCTGTTGGCCTACTTTTCCACAGCTCCCAAACACCCTGAGTTTTTTTTTTTAAGGTTATAAACAGATACCCCCAACCTAAACATGTCAGAAGTCTCCGTTCCTTTTTTTTTTACAGTTCCGCTATCCAGAATGCCCTTGGCCAACCCTGTATCTACATGTATTCTTTTTTTTTTCCCCTTTAGGTAGTATACTTTTTAGTTTTTTTGTTTTTGTTTGTCATTATTATTAATATTAATAAGTATTATTGTGTGTGTGTGTGTGTGTGTTGTTCAGGCACACACATGTCATGGCACATGTTAATATCAGACAACTTTTGGAGGTTTTTCTCCTTCCACTATGGGATCCAGGAACTGAATTCGAATCCTCACACTCATACAGTGAATGCTTGTACCCATGAAACCATCTCCCTCACTCTCCAGATATAAATAATCTTATTGTGTAGCCCGGGCTGGGGTCAAAGATGTGACAATCTTCCTCTCTCCCTGAGGCTGTATGGACTCCTGTGATTGACCACCCAGACTCAGCTCAAGTGGAGCACAGTGATGCCCATGTGTAATCCTAGCACTTGGGAGTCCAATTGGCATCATGATTTGCTGTAATCTTAGTACTCCCGAGGCTGAGAAGCAAGTTCAAGGCTAGCATGGGCTGCAG